CTGTCTCGCTTAAAAAGGCTAAGGGATTTGAAATGTAAGGTGCTCGCCAAATCACGATATGTTATTCAAATCAGGGTCATCTCAACGCAAAAAAACTGTCTCGCTTAAAAACGCTAAGTGATTTGCAATTTTAGCATGAGTAGTACAAGCACACTTCACGATCGAGTCTCGAAATCATGAAAACTTCTCTATTTTATGATAAAATACATGAAATTAACAGTGAGCGCGATAATGAAGTACTAGGTTGTGTGACTTCTCTGTTTAGTTCTTCATCAGTTGTTTTAGTGTTGTAATAGTGTCGTAAAACGAGATAGGAACATTCAAAGGTCAAAAAAAAAAATGAGAATGAAACTCACCATTCAAAGAGTTAATGTAGAGAGGAAATGACCTGAGATGGGAAAGCCATAAACACGACGCAAAAAATGTGTTGGCCTTAATAAAACGAGGCGATGATTTTATTTTAATACAGCTTGTTTGTTTTAGTCATATCGCTAATACCAAGGAGGTAAGCACGGGGGCAATGGAAAGAGAATTTATACAAGTTCCAATAGATTTGAAAGCCCATATCATCGGTAGGCATCGTAGTGGGATTAATGAAATGATGACGAGATCTGGAGCCATAATTGAGCCTGGGAGAAGAGAACATGCAGGATTTATAGTCAGTGGACGCCCTGAGGAATTAGAAATGGCAAGGCAGCTTATTTCAGAAAAACTGGTTAGTTCCAGATATACGCTATGGTTTGGTAACTTTAAGATTAACGCTACATTATATTGCGGTAAACTCACTGAAGAACTTTCAGTGTTTTAAAAGATACTGAACAAGTATAATAATAAGTACAATAAGTCTTAACTTCTTCTTGTTCACCGTCATTGTTTGGGAAATGACATATATTCATAAAGTGTCAAAAACGCAAATAATGTCAACAGCAGAGTTGCTTATTCAAAACTTCCTGATGTTACAATATGGATTCTGAATTGACCATCGGTTCTTTTTCATAGCAGGAGTTGAATAATAATCGAGAAGAGCTGGTAGAAATTCCAAACACATTCAAAGGCAGAGTTATTGGAAAATATAGAGCTACTTTACGCCAGATAGAGACCCAAACGGAAGTTAAACTTATTGTGAAGGATGGAGAAGTATATATAGTCCGTGGAACACAACAGCAACGGCGACATGCAAAAATGAACATCGGAACAATTGTGGTATGTTTAAAGTTACAAACTGATTCTTAATCGGTGAGCGAGATCGCTTTTATACTACTGGCGATTTTATCTTCGCGAACTAGATCTATATATACAATCTTTTTTCATACTCTAAAAATTAATGTTTGGCGGCATAAGAATTCAAACAGCATTGCATTATTTATTTTTCTCAAGTCAGGTTCCATCGCCACCCCTCTGAATATTGTGGCTTACTAATTCAGTACAACTTTTAATAGCTTCTGATGCTTAATTCATCAAGGTTTGTTCATTTGAATTGCCAAAGAGCCATCAGCACCTGATTTCTAGACCTGCTTGGCTAAAACCAGTAATAAGGATGTGATACGTGCGATAAAACCAGCTTTCTTTCGTTAACGTCGCCTTTTAAACTTCTAGGCTGGAGCAAGATTGAAGAATTTTGAAAACGAATTTTACAAAGTTAGTGCTTACGTCGATGGTTGTCATCTTCCTGCCAACTGTAAACTCAAGCTTCAGGAGGTGCAAATGGAAGATCGCATGCCGCTTCCAGGGTCTGAGACGCAGTATCGACTCGAACTAGCTGAGCTCTGCGAGAGTGAGGTATTCTTCTTTGTTTGATTCTGCTACAGTAACTGAATGTACAAGAGTTGGCTCATTCTTTTTCTTGTGTGATAAGGTAATAACCGGAATGTTCAATACATTGTGTTGCGTCGTGATCATGCTTTAGTCTTTAAGACTTTTAGACTTTAAGACGCAATAGTCTTTAAGACTGCTTTGTCAAAAACGTAGGTCTGCGAATCCTTCAAACTGAGTGAAGATAGTTTGGTTTAAAATTGCATTTTTATACTGATGGGCCTTGTTTGTTAAATGGCAATATTGAACAAGAACTGAATACAATTGACAGCTGATACATTTTTATGACTTTGAGCTTGGTTGAATTCCACGCAAGACTATTTTCGAGCTCATACAGATTATGATCACGCATTTTATGACGCTGAAAAATCTGGTTGTCCGTGCTCCGGGTGTTACTCACGGGTGACGTAGAAGTTTTCTTTGACCGTCGTTCTTGAAATATTTATGACATGATTCATTATAAACCTATCTGCTTGTAGATGTAGCCACATTTTTGACTCGAGAACTAGGATTCATAAAGAAATCTTTGCGTAATACTAACATGTTTATCTGGGCAGAATTTGCACCATGACCGAAATGACACCGTGTACCAATCCGATCTTAAAGACGAAGTTTTGATGTCCTTACGCAAGATTAAAGATAACAGGGAGACAGATGAGAGTCCGAAAGCCGATATGTGGTGTCATTTGGGGACCTCTATTGTTAGAGTACGTGACGAAGGTAATATATATACTTGTTTGAATATTTTGCGTCGATGAATAAAGGTGAATTAACGTATATGAGAACGATCCTTCGCAGTAAAGCACTATTTGAGCAATAGTGAAAATCAGACCTGAAAAAAATTTCAGGCCTGTATGGAACGCTCAGGCCATACAGGCCTGAAATTTTTTTCAGGTCTGATTTTCACTATTGCTCAAGTAGTGCTTTACTGCGAAGGATCGTTCTCATATACGTCTCATAACCGCAGTTCACACATATGTTTCATATGTTTGTTGTTGTTTGATTTATCATCTACGGGTTTATATCGAATTAATTTGATGGCCTGCTCCCAGTTGGCTTGTTAGCTCAATTGGTAGAGCGCTGCACTAGTATCGCAGAGGTCAGTGGTTCGAATCCCATACAGGCCTGAAATTTTTTTCAGGTCTGATTTTCACTATTGCTCAAATAGTGCTTTACTGCGAAGGATCGTTCTCATATACGTCTCATAACCGCAGTTCACACATATGTTTCATATGTTTGTTGTTGTTTGATTTATCATCTACGGGTTTATATCGAATTAATTTGATGGCCTGCTCCCAGTTGGCTTGTTAGCTCAATTGGTAGAGCGCTGCACTAGTATCGCAGAGGTCAGTGGTTCGAATCCCATACAGGCCTGAAATTTTTTTCAGGTCTGATTTTCACTATTGCTCAAATAGTGCTTTACTGCGAAGGATCGTGCTCATATACGTCTCATAACCGCAGTTCACACATGTGTTTCATATGTTTGTTGTTGTTTGAAAGGTGAATTAACTGACCATCCCGTTGAAAAGTTTTATGCTCCTTTTAACTTCTTTTCGTTGATCTTATTTTGCTGTTTCTCTTTTAATCGCATTTGTTACCATCTTGTACTTAGACTTGCATTTTTTCCAAGTCTTTGTCTTGGTTTTCTTAGTCTTCTTGTTCGCCAATCTGACATACCTCTCTCTTTTTTGTAGACGATGTTGGCCAAAAAACGTGGGACATCGAAGAGATAGCAGAAAATTTTCAAAGGCCTGATACAGGAGAAAAAATGTTTTGGAAAGTTTCTTTTAGAGAGCGAGATGATATTCCTGAGGACATCTTTACAAGAACTGGCCTCAAAGAGATCACCGAAGACAATGAATACATCTCCAGATATGACCTAACATATCTGACGCCTTGTTTTTACCAACTTAGATGTAAGGTGAGTTCGAAAAATTTTTTGCCTCTTTTCGTTTCACCGCCGATTACTGTGTCACGCCCGTCTGCTTCTTTTTGGCTTTGAATATTGCTTATTTTTTACTCTTTTCGTTTACCGCTCATGGAACATGTATTTTACCTTCACCTAAAAAGAAATTCCCCTTTGATGAAGTTTCGCTTCGTTTTGTTGTCGAACGTAGACTCTCCCAAAGTGCCCCTATCGTTTGCCGAAAAGCCAGTGACCTCACAAAGTTATGAATACCGGCCCGGCAGGAGGTTATGCTTCACGTGCTGTGTTTCGCCATCTTTTTGAACAGGTGTGGGTGGCAAAGAGTAGCCTAAAGAAAAGGCTGGAAGATATACCAATTCCTTTTAGTGACGTAAAGAATGTTTTAGAAGAGATTCGATTTGAAGATGAAACAATGCAATCACGCTGTCGTGGATGGCTGGTACTTAAATCTAGAAAATATTTACAGACCGACATTCTTTTTCCTGGTTGCGATTTAGACTGCAGGTTCACCATGCGTGGGCGAACAGGCAAGACTAGAAAATTGTTTTTTTTTTTGGTCCTTGTCGTTCTAAAACAAATGGATTTTCGTTTAGTTTTTCATTCGTTCACTTACTCTCTACCTTCTTATCTCCTCTCCCCTTCCACCTATACACGACCTGATCATGAGTTTCTCTTAGAGAAGAAAGAACAGGAAAGTTTCTCTTTTTATTTTCCATTCAAATTTCTTTTTCAAATGCCAGTTAAGTTGGACATGGAAATCTTCGACTGTCCAGGCTGAACGGTCACTTTGCCTCTATGGATACCCAAGTCTACGCAAAAGTGTACTTAATCATTCCTCCTTATCGCACAATTCATGGGCTTTTGACATGCATCGGCTTGACACGAATATTTTTACTTGAAGAGGTCAATTTTATTGATTCCGGTTAAAACTTTTACTAAAACTTGTCTTGTTACAGATCGCACTGCTATAGCTATTAGAGGAGACGTACCCGAAATTGAAGTGAGACGCGCTTTGTCTACATACTTGTCCCGATTAACTTTGACGGATGAGGATGCCTTCGGATTACGTCTCCCAGATCACGATTTCCCTGACGGATTCCACTTACTTCATAAGCGATGTTGTCAGCGAAAAATGTACAGCACGCGTCCAGGATTCTTTGCCATACTTTCTCAGGAAGATTCATGGTGGATTGACCCCCTAGGAAATGAAAGAAGCAGAAAATCGGTAATAACGTATGTTTAACGGTTGCAAATCGCATATTTTTATGAAAAATAGTTAGCATGTTTAGCAAAACAACTAAATTTTAAGTTTTCCTCGCTAATTCTCTCTTTTTCTTGTGCAATGGGTAGACTGACCTCCACTTACACAGCGAAGAGTGTGATAAACTCCTAAATGGGACAGACTGGGAACCGGAAGTAATTGCTCAGAAACTACCTGAATTTATTCAATTTGTAAAGGAAATTCAAGACTTTGTCGTACGGGAGATGAACGGATATGGATCCACAACAACAGGTGAGTGTTTGTAATAAATCGGCACTAACGTCATATATGTCTAACGTGGCTGATTAAAAGAAAATTAAGAGGTATTGCTAAAGAACACAATTTCAAAATGGTTGTGTTTTTTATGGCAATATATTCCGAAGAGATGTGCTGGGAACGCGCCTCTTTGTAAAATTTCATTTTCAATTCTTGTCGCGCAATCAAGGGATAGCCTTTAAGACTCACCCGAATCTAAAAATTAAATTGAGCAATATTAGGACTTATCTTTGGAAGTAGGCAGTGACTCTTTCCTTTCTACATATGTGAAGTAATTTATACGTAAAATAATTTTATACGTGCAAACTGTTTTTTTGTGTACAAAAAATACGCCAGAGGACTGCAATGACTCTCATTGCTCTCCTTTTGCTCAAGATGTAATTTCAATTTTTAGACGGTCAGTTTCATTTATTGATTGGAATCGAGCTCGAGTACTCTAGCTTTGGATTGAAATTCTCTAAAACAGAGCATGTGAGAAATCCTTCGCAAAAGTAGAAGAAGTCCAAGAGCCTAAGTAGTCTGCTTACTTTCAACAGATTTTCACATGAGAAGAAAATGTTTTCATAGCTTAAAAATTTAGATTTCAATTTAGATTCTTGGTATTGTACCAATGATTACCGCTAGCCTATTTAAGTTCAATACCATCTATGGCTTTCTAAGGGGTTTTTTCCAGATCATACTGGAGAAAAAGGAGCGAGGAAGGGAGGGCTCTGAGAACTGTCGAAATTTTATAAATGGTGACATGTTCTATATAGCCGGAGCTCGCTAGAGATCATTATACCAATATCGTCACTCCTTCATATGATATCTATGATATCATATCAAATTATTGCCTAGGAATAAAGTGCTGCTATTCTCTTACATACATACATACCCCGATTTTTAGGATTTAGGTTTGAGATGAAATCACAAGTATTTTGCCCCATTCAAAGGAAAGCAGTTCTCTTTTTGAGATCGATCCTACACAGAAGAAATAACTAATAGATAAATAACTAATAAATGATATAACGTTTAAGAAGAGATATATCCTGTTTGCTTTGAAGATAAAATTCGATGGATTGGTTGATGCTTGGTTTTGTTTGTCTACATGTCTCTTACTTCTTGTTTGTTTGATTCACTATCAATTCCATCTTCATTATTGAAATTTATTAATGTGCATTTCTTGATTGTCACATTTACAGATCCTCCAGAGATTCGTGCTCGTGGTCCTGAAGCTCTAGAAGCCTACAAAGATGCCCTGTCCGAAGGTCAAACTTGTGTAAAGAGAGTGCCGTTGATGTTCGTTGGACAAGATCGATCTGGAAAGACTAGCGTGAAGAAGTCCTTGAAAGGGATTAGTTTCAACCCCGAAGAAGATAGCACCGTAGGCATCGAAGTCGATACCTATGATTATAAAGTAACCACGGAAGTTTGGAAGACAGGAAAAAAAGACTTACGCGAAAACTTTGATGAAGCATCTTTTTCTTTTGAACATAATACAGCTAGGTGGATTGCAGATAAATTAATGGAGGAAGAGAACGTTGCTAACGTTCGATGAAGAGGTAGTACCTTGTCAGAAAATTATGATGACTTCGAAGAAACTAACACCTTGGAGGAAACATACCCCAGCAAGACTGCAAGTTACACGGAACCGTCGGAGTCTCCTACAGATCGAGCAAACGTTCATCCTTCACTCGGTGAACCTTTTTTAACAACAAGAGGAGAATATAATCTAACTCCAACACAGTACGACGATGACGTACTCGACAGTACCTCAGGAGAAGTGCCGGAGGGCATTGCGAAGTTAATTCCACAGTTCCTTCAAGATGATTGGAAAGACGATAGCGAGGATATTTATTCAACCACGTGGGACTTCGCTGGACAGTCTGTTTACTACGTGACACACCCACTCTTTCTTACAAGAAGAGCAATCTACTTTTTGGTTTATGACTTGAGTAGAAATCCAAGCGACAAAGCCATACCCCAGGTGAAACAAGGAGTCTACAGAGAAATTGAAGATAGATATAATCTAAAAACGAATTTGGATTACCTAGAGTTTTGGATGAGTTCTTTGGCCTCCTTAATGGAACAAAATAATCGCCCGCAAAACCCCGAAAAGGAGGTACTTCCAAAGAGGCTTCCAGCTGTTTTCCTGGTGTGCACTCATGCTGACAAACCATATTGTAACCGTAATCCTTCTGCATTAGCCAGAGAAATATTTGGCAATTTAAAAACCAAGCCATAAGGTGCCCACTTGGTTGGCGTGTTTTGTGTTGATAACACTAAGTCAGGCACTGAGTCCGAGTGTCAAGAAATCAGGCGATTGCGAGAAAAGGTACTTGAAGTTGCTAAGGAGTTACCACATGTAAATGAGGCTATTCCGATCAAGTGGTTGAAGTACGAAAATGCTCTTCGTGCGATCAAGGAAAATGATCGCAAATTCATCTCTCTCGCAATTGCAAAACAGATTGCTTCCAAAGTTTGCAGGATAAATAAAAACAAAGAGATTTTAACATTGTTAAACTTTTTGCACGATCTGCGAGTTTTGATCCACTTCGATGACACACTGGAATTGAGTGATTTGGTTATCTTGGATACCCAGTGGCTGATTGACGTTTTCAAAAACGTAATAACTGTGAGGCCCTGCCACTCGAGAGAGGAAAACTTTGCTGATCTTTGGTACAAACTCGAAACAGAGGGAATCCTTGAAGAAAAACTCCTCAAACATGTTTGGAATTCTTTGATTCCTCAGACAGAAACCCACGAAAGCCTTATTGCAATTATGGAGAAATTCAGCTTGATGTGTCGTTGGCCATCGTCAGAACACCCCTGCAACAAGCATTATCTGGTGCCATCAATGCTGCGGACGCATCCGCCAGAAAGGATCGGTAATCTTGTTGAATCTGCACAACTTCCGTCTCTTTTTCTCAAATTTGATGCAGGTCAGGTCCCCCCAGGTTTATTTCCACGATTTGTGTTGGAATTCTTTTGGTGGGGTAAAAAAACATTTTCTCCCCTAGCACCGCCCCAATTTTACAACAATTTTGCTAGATTTCACCTCGTCCCTAACCGCGGCCTCTCGTTTGTCCTCCTTTGCCACTCCTCTGCGATTGAGGTCATCGTACTCAGCGCAAATAATGACATTGACACGGTTGATATGACCTCAATTCGAGCTTTTCGTAGCCAGCTGACTTTAATGGTAGATTGCATTTGGAACAAGTTCTTCTGGGTTAAGAACTTTGGATGCAAAGTATGTTTCCTATGTCCCATCTGTTCGCATGGACGCGTGGTCGGCTTCTGCACTCAACATAATGAAGAAAATTGTAAGCAAGAGGAATGCCTCCACTTCATTTCAGAGTCAGATCTTGGAAATGAAACACCGCAGGTTTTTTGCACAAAATCCGCAACCGCACGGGATAACCGAATTCAAGCCGAGGACTTTGTTCCGTGGATTTCTCCTAGTGAGGAAAAGGTCAGAAAGATGGTTTGTTTATCTTTTACATTAATAGCCATAGTTATCCTGAGAGCATGTGAGCGACATTAGATTGTTAGTATTTTCAACCTGAAGAAAGAATTTGTCATCAGAATTGAAATTCTTTGAAGTAAACGGCAAAACGTCGACATAACTAATGACAGGTTCTGATGAAATCAGTTGACTTTTGTTTCCCACGAGGTAAAAGATTAACAAAATGTGTTGAGCTATTCTTCGCTTAAAATTAAGCATGCACATTTCGCGTAATTCCTTGAAAATACCTTTGTTATTATTAACAGTTCACCTTATTTACCAGCAGGTGGTGACTAGTCAACATGAGGAGAGACTTATCTTGAAAGGTTAGCCGCCATTTTCGTATCTTAATTACCTTCGATCGATCAATCTATTTCAGTTGTTTGTGATGTTCTTTTCTACGTTCTCTCGTGTAGTTCGGTGTCTATAGGCTACACTAAATCATTCATATAATCACTTTGAATTTATTCCTCTGCAATTTGTATCTTGTGATTCAGATGGAGCCGAGGAGATGTCAACTGAGTTAGTTAGCGAAGCTGTGACATCTCTTCAGCTACGACCACTTGCAAGCACTGAGGTGGAAAGGATGCTAGGTCCTTCTGCAAAAGGTTAGTTTCCAATTTTTTTGCTTTTTGTAATTAAGTTCATTTGATTCCAATAATCTGTGGTGCCTTATTGAGCCCGTGAACATACCACGTGCTCGAATGCATCTTTTCTCTAATCCACCATAGAGTCCTGAAGTGTTCAGTGCACATATCTTTAATGTCGAACCATTTCCAGCTAAGAATGAACAAACTTCAAGTTGTTGTAAACACAAGCAATAGTACATTTCATTCCTTTGAGCGAGGGAAAGTCAATTGCGTAATTAATTCTTCTTCTTCTCTGATTGTATGGTTTGTAAATAGCTTGATATCTACATTGCTGGTCTTAAATTATCTTCTTTGCTTTCCTTCATTTAAGGATATGGTAGACCTTCGCGGATGTCCTTCGCAAAGAAAAAAAAAAAAAGAATTACGTGCTATTAAAACATAGCCAACATAAACTAGATATCAGTGAAATGTTTATGAAAAACACTATTCGATCGGAAAAAGTAATTTCGTTTTAGCTTGATCCTATCTTAATCCAAATGAGGCGCGACCATCTAAAATGGACGATGTTTCTTTGAGCGAATTAATCAAATATCAAATCCGACCACACAAATAAAACTTCTGCACAATTTCAGTCCTGAGGAGTTGAATCTTCAAAACCGTGTGGGGATTTTCTGATATTTTCATATTTGTTACTTGCAGTTTATCTGTCAAGTTTGCTGATTAGCGTTTTACCGATACGCATGAATCATAGGAGGCCGTTGCGGGAGATCCATTTTGATAAACGGTATTCCTAACAAGGGTTTTTGGGTTAGTGTTTCATTGCAATCCGTAAGGTTTACATACCCTATTGACTCGTTCAAAGAAGGCACGTTCGCGTAAAAACATGGAAAGATTTTTTTTTGTCGATTCCAAATTTCTCCAAACCATTCACGCCTTTGGGTGACCACATGTCAAGTGATGTCAACACACTGAATACAGAAGTGTCCCGCTGATTATAAGGAACCTTTTTTTATCAAAAAAAGTAGTAATAAAAGCGGCTTAAAGCACGCCACAGCAAAACTTAATGGTTGCTGATCGAGTTCTAGCAGCGAAGATTGCCTAAACCATGAGCCTTTGTCCGTTTGGGTGAGATAATATTTCTTTCGCCATTCCGCGTCGAATTTCTGGTACCGGTTTGATCGCACCGTGTTTAAATCGCTCCCAGTTAGATCGCTTCAGCCAAAAGTTAGATCGCTCCACTCGAAAGCTAGATCGCTCCATCAAATAAGTTACTTCGCTCACAACGTAAGTTACTTCGCTCCATGTTGTAATGTGAAGTATTACTTGCCACTGATCTTTAAAGATTATAGGTGATGTTGTGCCTTGCAACGATTCGAGTACGTTGTATTCACTCTGCCCTTCAGATTAGCCACCAGGCTACCGATGTATGATGTATAGCGATGATGGAATAAATTATCGTGGAATAAACTATGACGTTACAGTCCGAGGTGTATTAAAAAAGATCATTCAAATACAAATATTGTCCAGTGTGGCCTATTTTGCTGTTTGATGTAAGAAAACTGATAATTAAAAAAGTAGAGTACACCTCGTAAGTCCCTTACATGAGGGTTTATTTGTTCTTTCAAGGGCGCGCGAGCGATCTTAATAGATTGTTAAGCAAGATATACACGTCATTTAATGAACTATTAATTTAGATATTTTCATGTCCCATGTCAGTCGCCAGTAAAAGGTGGCTAACAGTATCACCTTCACCACAAACATATCTGTTGTTTAACATGTGACATTCTCATCAATATCAGCTAATTAGTGTGTGATCTTTTACGGAATGTTCTAAAAGTGAGAAATAAGTTTGCAAACATCATTAGCATTAACCGATGAGAAATCAGAACTTCGCGACACACTGATTCCGTGGCTGTGTATAAAAGGGGTATTTTATTGCGAGCAATCATAAAGCATCAAGCTACGATCACGATCACCACTAGAAAACGAGTTCAATCCACGATGTCTTCAAAGTGTATGTCATATAAGAGGCTAGTCCGAGCGCGTCAACATGCAAGGAGTTCAGTGCGACAGTTGCAACCGTTGGAAACATCGTATCTGTGGAGCCAGTTGCTGCTTCCGCCGTCTACGAGCCAGTTCCTGATTCCGTGGCTGCTGATTCTTCAGACTCTTGGCCATTAATCATTTTGGTTGTTTAATTTTAAGCTGAGTGCAATGTGCATTACCCCTAAGGCCGATCATTCATAGCGTTCCTTCCATTTCTGCATCAGGTTGCCCTTTTTTACCTCAAGTTCTTTCACTTTTTTTGGGCGATAATGCTAGATTTCTTCTTTGTGGCACATTTTGTTTATCTCTGTGGTTTTTTTCGATATGTTAGGGAATAACGACAAATCTCTCGTTCTGCCTCACAAAGTTAGCGAATCTCTCCAGTCAACATTAGACTCTCCAAAAGAGGTTGTAGATAGATTGCTTCACAATCTTGATGACGCCTCGCTGGAACATCCAAAACCTGAAACTGAGAAATGGATCCGTTGCCTTGCGAGGAATGCTAAAGAACATAGCAGGATTGACGTTTTTACCTATTTAAGAGAAGTTGCGCCAGCAGGGACAACAGGTAAGAAAGCGGAGACGGTGAGTGGTTCTAATAAGTGTTTTTATACGGACTTAGAACTCGCCAGAAGCCTGAACAGGTCGTTCATTCGCCTTCCCATGTGGAAATTAGNAATAACTTTGCCTCTTTATTTTCCACCAAAACCTTCGAAATTGCTGAGTAAAGTAAAACGCACATCTGTAAATTAAGAGTCTCAGAGGGATGATGACCTTTACGGCCTATGATTAAAATTTTGGATACATTTACGGCTACCGGTTAATTTCTGTCCGCCTCTGTAAAAGAAATAATAATACGGTTAACCTTTTTTTTAATGATGAATGGTTAAAAGTCGTCATTTTTTACATCAAACAGCTGACTAAGTTAACCCCATTTAGACCCTCCAAGTTTAGTTTCAGACCACCAGCCAGTAGTCTGCCTTTGAAATCTACTTTTCACGAATACTGCTGTTGTTCATTTCAGGTCCAAAGCTGCCTGAGACCCTCCAAGTCCAAGATATTCCTAAAAGTCAGCTAAGAGAACTGACAATTATCCTCAGTGGTGAGGCTTTCTCATGGTATCAAAGGCTTAAGACATTTTCACATAATAGAGGCTAGATGAGTGTTTCGAATCAGAAGCGTTTTCAAATCAAAAGCCTCCTCCTTCCTTTCTTCCTTGCTCCCTTTCCCCCCCGCTTCCTTCTCCTTCATTCTCCTTCTTCTCTTCCTTCCTTCCTTTCTCCCTTCTTTCCTTTCTTCCGTTTCCTTCCTTCCCCTTCTCCTTCCTTCCATCCTTCCTTCCTTGAGTTTCCTTCTTCCATTCTCCTTCCTTTCTCCCTCCCTTCTCCTCTCTTTGTTCCTTCCTTCTCCCTCCTTCCTACCTTCCTTCCCTACAGCTCTTCGCTATCGACTTACATGCCCTCACTTACTCACGCATTTACAACCTCTCTTATTACTCTCATCATCGACTTACATGCCCTCACTTACTCACGCATTTACAATCTCTCTTATTACTCTCATCATATCCCCGGAAATAATTCTTGTACCCCTTCCCCCTCCTCTGGACGAGAGATATTCTTTTTACTTAGGAACCTGTAAGCAAAATCTCTTCATTTAATCTGGTGGACCTATCGCTCACTCAAATGATTTTGCCCTTACCAGTTAAAACTGAATTGCCTCGTGAAAATTGAAAAAGGAAGAAAAAGAAAAGGCAAAAAAAATTGACAGGGCAGGACGGGAGAGAAAAAGCGGGGGGAGGGGGGAAGGAAAGAGCAGATCAGAAGAGAGGAAGAGAAGCACAAAACGAAAATTTGTTCTCGCCTTCATCTTGCCTTTTAATGACTAATCTGTAACATTGGCAAAAATCGTGCCAAACAGAAAAACAATTTTAGCAATGTTCTTGCATTGTAGCTGGAAACATAAACCTGGTGTTTTAAAAACATTTAGAAGAAATTTGCAAATGAAGAAGCGGAGGGTAGACGGCAATAACTTTTGAATATACTTCAATATCTATTCTTGTAGGGCGAGAGGATTGGGAGATATTTGCTGAAAAACTGGGACTGACCCCCGCAGAGATACGTTTTATGGACAAGCGCACAAGAAATCAAGTGCTTGAAGTTTTGGGTTACGCTGCGCAAAAATATCTCATAACTGTGGGAAATCTTTATGACGTTTTGAAAGACTGTGGGATGCCTATCCTAGCTGACTTGCTTTGAAACTAGTAGTTCTCTTTCACTTTGAAGGATCTGTTAGCAACTGATTCAACCATCAAGTAATAGATATTATTACAAATTTATATTTGAATCAGATAGCTTAGTTACTCCGTTAAACACTGCCCTCGATTAAAAGCCGCATACTGAGGGAAACTACTATATGAAATACACTCCCTTGAATAAAAATCGTATCCAACAAGATGGATGTAGTGTTTATTCAAAGGTTATGAGAGAAAAATTCGGCTAGAGCTGGGTAATATGCATGATTCTTCATGCCCTTGTTAATTTATATCGTAACTCCTACATTTCTGATTCTATCTCGAGAAAAAGTGAGTCACGTGCTTTCCTTTGAAATGATAATTGTTTTAACTGTTAGTGACGTCACTCATTTCAGCTTGGAATTGTGAAATGAACGTTGCCCGGAAATCAATTGGATAAATAAGTTAATTGTACCTTGTTTTCTTTCCTCTGGTTTTCTTTGAAATACACGATTTTGACTTTCTGAGGCCATCCCGCGTTCTGTTGCGTTCCGTCTAATAGTTAAAAAAAAAACAAATATTACATCGCAGCCAAGGGGCTGAATTGCATAATATTTTACAATGATATACCATGTTATAATAGAGACATACAGGACTATAATATATACAGGAATATAATAAAAAATTACAATTCTATCAGAAACCATAAAAAGATAAAGTATCACCAATATCGAGTAATACTAGGTAGGCTTGATCAATCGAATATTCACACAGTGTCGTTTGAGTCGGCACATGCTCGGGATGCGCACGCCAGGGAGGTCGTACTTTCTAATTCTCCTTAGGTTATAATGGTTTACATGATTGGTAGGAAATAAGTGAGATAGTTTGTGGTCATTAGAGATTGAATCAAACAGTTTAGAACAATGTTCCTCGCGCCGAGACTGCAAAGTGTCTAAATTATGGTTACTCAAGCATAGACTATAACAACAATCTGGTAAGATGATGCTTAACGCCCTTTTCTGTACTCGCTCGATATCATGACTTAAATACTCGGGCAATGCATGGTCAAAAACGGAAGAACAATATTCCAGGACAGGTTTGATAACAGAGCAGTAAAAGTTGATTATATCACGAGGGTCCACTCCCGCTCTCCTAAGGAGAACCAGGAAATATAATCTCTTATTGGCTTTCTTGATCGCCTCAGATATATGATCATTCCACGTAAGATGTTTAGAGAGAGTCACACCTAAGATCTTGACAGGGCTAACAACAGAGAGATCCTTCCCATTAAAGGTTACAGCGAAAGCATGCTTGTTCTTCTCAAAGTCGTTCATGTTCATGACTTTACACTTATCGGCATTTAGGGTCATTCGTTGATCGCACCACCAGGTTTTAATAGCGTGAACAGCACTTTGGATGTTGCTCGACTCTCCTCGTGGCACGATCTCGGCTACAGTAGTGTCATCCACATATTTCCAGGAATGGAATTCACGGACCCTCAGGTCATTTATCATTAGGATAAATAACCTCGACTGAGTTACTAAATTTGTTCGTACGTAAAGCTGAGACACTGATGAAATCAGGCGCAAAACTATGCCGTTATCCAAAAAGTTTAAATCAGCAGTCAGTCGGCGATGGGCTTACGCACAACAGAAACAACCTAGCATTTACAATCTAGCACATGTCCCCTGCTTTTAAACATTAGTAGATTTGTCAAGAGACGAGGAGTTCTCATTGAAAACGTAATACTACTTAGTTAATGTCTCTATCATGATTCTGGTGGGAAAATATTTTATAGTAAGCTTGCGTTCGGCTGCATATGTCGTTAGCCACGTGTAAGCGAGGCTATTGCCTGTTGGTTGAAGTGTACCGAACGTGTGGGTAAACTCAATGCGTACATTTCGTACAATTTTATGTTTTATTTCATCACAATTACCTGAAAAGTCTCGCACAGCCACTCTTTCATCTTTCTTCTCCGATTTCGAATGTAACTGGACATATCATTGGGATATAGGGCAAATGCTATTGTTTTTCCTATCAGGTTCTTTTCCAAGAGTACTACTTAAATATCATTGTTAAACAATTTCGAACGCCAAAATTCATAAGAAATTGCGACAAATTAGCAATTGTTTATGATCTCTTGATCATGGACAAAATAGGTTTGTCCAAGGGATTTGTTCTATTTTGTACAAATATGGATAAAAAATGAATACAGTCAATTTAAAAATACCTTGCTACACCAGAAAAAAAACTGAAAACTGTAAAATCTTGAGATCATCCAAATATCAAAGGCTAATTTAGTAGATGCCGACCCCACTCTCAC